TTATTTGTCAATACTGTACCAATCTTCCTCTACCATATGTAGCAAAGTTTGGTTTATTTAAGAAAGAACTTGAAAAATGCATGCTGGCTAGAATATTTGGGGAGCTGTATTCCAAAACAGTAACTTCTAACAACTCTCATTCTAGGAACCACTCTTTCTTCATTAAGGCCCCTTCTACACTGCAACATAACACCTTATTTATATTTCACCCTATCTCTCGAGGGGACTCAGAGAGGAATAAAGCATATATACAAACACAGGCAAACATTCAAACATACAATGAGACAGAAATTCACAGTCAGAGGCAAAGGCTTCCCCTTTCATTTCTGGTTTCTGGAGGCGGTTCTCAACTCCAGCTCCATTTCCAAGCTGAGGAGCCTGCATTGTCCATAGACACGTCCTGGTTGTGTAGCTGGCATGACTGCCTGGAGTGCCTGTTTGCCTTCCCGCTAAGGCAGTACCTATTGATCTACTCACATTTGCATGTTTTCGAACTGCTAGATTGACAGGAGCTAGGGCTAATAGTAGGAGCTTGCCCTGTCCCGTGGTTTTGAATTGCCAACCTTCAGGTCAGCAGCACAAGTGTTTAACCCATTGCAGTACCATGGCCTCTTTATCTGCTTTTAACTGGATTATATGAGTCTATACTGCCATACAATCCAGTTCAAATCAGTTAATCTGGATTTTATATGACAGTGTAGAAAGGGGCACAGAGGAACCCTCTGATTAGCCTGGAAGAGGTTTAGCCAAAAGGGTTGGCTAAACATCTCCCCAAGAACATGTTCTAGCAGTCTCTGTAAAATACCATAGCTACATAGCAGACGAACTGGGATTCCTGAATAGAAAAAATCATATGAATAATACTCCAGAGAGTTTGAAAAGTGATGGCATAAGCAAATGAATTTCTTTGTTAGTGAATTTCATTAACTTACCTGTCCGAATGTATCTCTCCTTATCAACCATCTAGGACCCTAAGATCTTCTGGGGAGGACCTGCTCTCGGTCCTGCCTTCTTCACAGACTTGGTTGGCGGGAACGAGGGACAGGGCCTTCTCAGCGGTGGCCCCTCAGCTATGGAACACCCTCCCTAGGGATACCAGATCAGCCCCCACCCTCCTAACATTTGGAAAAAAAGTTAAAACCTGGCTTTTTGAGCAAGCTTTCCCAAATGCAGTGTAGCAGACAAACTCTGATCTCCGGAATGACTGGACAATGCAATTGGGTAATGATTTCAGTAATGAGATGCTGTGGATTTATACTTTTATCGGTTTTATTTTATTTTATCAAATGTTATTTATCCTAAATGTTTTAATTATTCTCTGTTTTGTAGGCAACTGCCCTGAGTCACCTTCGGGCTGAGAAAGGTAGTATACAAATATGGCTAATAATTAATTAATTAATTTCCACTCAAAGACAACACTCACATTACAGTAAGCGTAACGTAAAACACATTTCTAAATCAAAGAAATGTAGTCTGCTAATACAAAAGTTAACTTGGCAGGCCACATTCCGAAACTTAAGACATACCATTGCCCAGTGGTCTTCATTAGTATGATATCCTAGAGATCCCATGTTAAAACAAAGAGACTCATTACTCCAGTTTAAATATAGAACGACAATTGCAAAATTAAATTAATCCCACCGAGTGCCCAACATTGTCCTGTACAAGGACTTGGTAAGACCCTGTGGATGAAGGTAGAACTGCGAAATGACCAATAATTAACTGAGAAGCAGAGTGAGAACATGGCAAAAAGACAGTGGCAAAAAGAGTTGTCATGAAGTATTGGGAACTGGTCACTACTGGGTAGAGAAAATTATTTTTGGGAGCAACAGGTGAGGGAAATCAATGAGAACCTGACTTTTTGACTTTCAAACCAGTAGAGTGGGATATTGCCATAGTGATAGGTGAATAAAACTGCACTTTGAAGTATAGTACCAGGCACAATGGTTTCATATCTTTCCAAGGCTATGAATTCTAGCAAAACAGAATGTTTATGGGGAATACAACATCTCCAAATTATATCAAATATAATTGGCACAATGTTCTGAAATTAAGATAGGCAGATCTTGAACACCTGCTTATTCTGGTTAAGAGTGCAATCTATGTTAGAAATAGCAGCCTTCTACAAGCCCCCTACACTAGTTATTTGTTATGTATATAATTGTGATTGCTTATTATATTGTATGTACATATTGGTATGCATATATACATACAATATTATATTATATTGTGTGTGTGTGTGTATATATATATATATATAGTATGTATATATTGGTTTTCCGATAACTCTATGTTGTTTGAGGTTGTGGCATGGACAACAGGCCATGTGATCAGATCTGGGACTATTCAGATTGAGACTCCATTTTAGAAGTCAGGTTTGCATCAGAAGCAGTACAGTACAGTTTAGATGTAAAGTCAGTGTCAGTATGCTGCAGTGTGTAGTCAGTCTGTATTGAGTCAATGTTCAGTAATGTATTAAACTGAAGAGAGTGTTAGTCTGCATGTAACAAAGAAACAAAATGCTTTAGAGAACTTACTTTTTAAACTCTCAACCAATAAGAAATGTACCTATATGCCATTATTATTATTATTATTATTATTATTATTATTATTATTATTTGAAAAACCACAAGATGACACTCTGCTCGCTGTTGTATTGGATCACACATCGGACACTTCCTAAGTGTCAGTCCTAGACACTTAGGAAGTGTCCGATGTGTGATGTATCAGTGAATAATGTGTGCAGATCCCAGTAAGGTGGCCTTTTGCAGCTGGTAGATGGTAATCTTGTCAGCGCCAATTGTGTTTAAGTGCAGGCCAAAGTCTTTAGGCAATGCACCCAGTGTGCCGATCACCACTGGGACCACATTTACTGGTTTGTGCCAGAGTCTTTGCAGTTCGATCTTTAAATCCTCATATCGTGTCATCGTTTCCAGTTGTTTCTCTTCTTTCTCTTGTATTATTATTATTATTATTATTATTATTATTATTATTATTATTATGTGTCAAAAGTATTGCATAGTTGTAAAGCAGCGCTTTTGGGTTGGAAAGATTAGCCATTTACAAGAAACATTGCCCAGGAAACACCCAATTGTATTTACTCAGTCTTCGAGGAGGCTCTTTCCATGTCCTGTATGCCAAATACATGAAGTTTGTAAGTAAATCAACTATGTTATGAAGACTACCTATTTTTGGTCTCTTGAGAGCATGTTTTAAAAGCAATATATTTTATGGGAGAGTAGATATTTTTTGGGCAACTGAAATAACACTTCTGAAGATCTGCTATATATTTTGTGCATTGGCACATCTTTGTTCTTAACAGTTCAAAGAGTTAATCAGGTATATCAGTCTAACAACTGAAAAACCTAATTTGCCTTGCATGAATACTAGTGGATATTTATTTTCCACTGAAGAGAAGATTCAATCAAAGAAGTATTTGATTTTTCTCAGGAAGATCATACTTTACAAAAGGTTTATGGTTATTCCAAATAGTGTGAATGCCAATTAATCTCCAAAAGGGTAACGCTTGGAGATCAATGGTTTCCCAAAAAGTTTTGATCTCTAAAAGGTCATGTTTTGCCAAAAATCTATACTGAGAGAGCCTTTGCTTTGCTAGTATAGGGTTCCCTTGCCGCTTTGTGGTTCGCTAACCGCGGACTCGCTGTTTTGCTTTTTTTAAAAAAATAATTTAAAATACAAGTAGCGAGGGAACACTGTATACAGCAGACTGGAGAGCCCCATGCCAGTGGGGAAGCAGAGTGAGAGGGAGAAGCAGAGAGAGAGGGAGGGAGAAGGGAGGGAGGGAGGGAGGGGGAAAGTGAGAGAAAGGAGGGGGAGAGAGGAGTAGGCAGAGCTATACTGTACATATACAGTATATTGTCCCTATATAAGTTTTTCACTTATCTCAGGGGTTCCTGGAACTGAACCCCCGCAATAGGTAACACTGTATTGTACAACTTTTCTTATAGCAGGAGTGGGCAAACTGGATCTAGTAGGCTGAATGTGGCTTCCCATGGTTATTTTTATGGACCTCTTCCCCTTCAAAAAAAAAGGCCATAAAATGCCATTTATATTCCTGGAAGACACCAGGTATGACAGTTTTATGGTAAAATTGGGGGGGGGGGGGAGCGGCAACACCAACCATCCAAATTTCCATTATTTTTGAGGGCCTAAAAATTGAGTCTTCTAAGTAGTCTTTTGCTTCAAAATATATCTATAAGCGATGGGAGAAGATAGCAAACCAATTATCCAAGTTACTCGTGTATTAATTTTGTATTCTTAAATCAACAATTTCTCACAAAGAAATTGATTAAAGAAAATAAAACAATACAGAATAAATATGTGAAATAAGTCAAGGTTCAGCACAATATGTTTTGCTCATAATGGACATTTACTTAGCTTTCGGCAGTCAACAAATATTTAGGAATAATTCCAATATTATATTTTGTATCTATGGAACACTCCTGAAATAATTCCAATGTGTGTGCTATTCTGAAACCATTTTGGCAGAATGCTTCATAATGTTGCTGGTTGCTGGTTTCTATGACTGTTTGGGACCAAACTAGATGTTATAAGAAATAGGGAAATGATGCTGCTATATTAGCTTTTACCCCCTTTCCATGTGAGCTAAGAGAGATATGATATTAATGTGGTTTGCATCTTCTTGTTCTTCATTAAGGTGTTTTATCACAATTTTTGTGTCAGAAGAAGACAGAGAGAAAGAATATGAAATAGCAACAGGTAAATTTCTCTCGTAATGTGTTGTATGCAAAATTTTGAGACATTTTCTGAATGGCAATGATCATGTTTGGATCACATGTGGTGGAGGCGCCTTCTTTGGAGGCTTTTAAACAGAGGCTGGATGGCCATCTGTCGGGGGTGCTTTGAATGCGATTTTCCTGCTTCTTGGCAGGGGGTTGGACTGGATGGCCCACAAGATCTCTTCCAACTCTATGATTCTACATGAGGTAAGAGAAAAAACTCATTCTTGAATCCCGCTGTCATATTTTTAAAAAGAACTTCTTCTTGTAGAGCAGATAAGCAGTTAACACCCAGAGTGAAGTGGCCAGCAGATGCTGAAAGAGTGGTTCGGCGTGGGAGGCCGCATACTTCATTTCCCACTTGAAAGGGAAATAAGTCCCCAGCAGGGAGCTTGCAACGTAGATGAGGATTGAATTCATGCCTGCATATTTGTGGGCAAAACAAAACAATTAGGATGGACCCAGGTGGAGGAGTTCACATAATCTTCCGGTGACATTTGGTATATTTAAGTCTAACCTATTATGCTGCCCACACATTTCCTTATGTGGTGTGAATCATCACAACCATTTCATGTGTGAGAGAAGCTTTTGGCCTATTCTCTTTAACCAAGAACCCAGTTTAAAAAGGAATCAACAAGTGATGCTAGCTCTAGGATTTCCTATGTCATCATCTGCACCATGAAACAGCTTTCTTCAATACCATTTTGAAAGTGCATTAAATGGTCAGTCAAGATCAGTGGTTCCCAACCTTTCTTTGACCAAGGACCACTCTGACCAGGGACCATTTTGACCAGGGACCACTCACCAACATTACTACCAAAAGGGTTATGAATTAGTTTTTGGTAAACTTTAGATTCGGTTTGGTTATTTGGGGTACTGATTCAGAAAATTGCATTGGATAGACCACATCAGCTCTATTTCCAGGAGTCGCCATCTGCTCGCCCACAGAAAACCGTATTTAATAATCTAGAGATGATGTGGTCTATCCAAGGGAGTGGAGCTGGTCAGCGACAGGGAAGGAGTGGAAAGTGGTATGAAAGGGGCAGAAATAAATAAATAAATAAAGAGGAAGGAGGCTCACTGACCAGATTTTCATCAGTAATTCAGCCTGCACAAGGGTTTAACCCATTGTGCCACCAGAGGCTCTGCTTTTAAATTAAAATAATTGCAATATATTTTTCAGTAGCCACCCCCTGCCACATGTTGCTGTGGCCCAGACTGTGTATATGTGTTTTATGTGTGTATATATATTTTTGTGTGTGTGTATTTGTGTATATGTGTATATGCATAGATATATGTGGTTTTGCGCATGCATTGTAATGTATTATTTATTTTTTGGGTTTTAAAGTCTCTTCCGCTGTGTTTTTCAGTGTCTTTATGCAGTCTATATTCTGATTGTACAGCTTTCAAGAAAATGTTTCGAAAACATCAAAGAAAGATTAGGCTAAATTAGCTGAAATTGAATAAAACATAGTTTTAGCACATCATCATATGTAAAGATTACACAAACAGAGCAATGGCCAAACATTAGTAGAGAGTGGCAAATGGACCCAATACCGAGGCAAACATAAAGTAGTGTAAACACAATCTAGGCATCTAACTTTATTGACTCCAATACTGAGAATGCGTCTTTATATTCGTCAGTTTCTTCCAACTCCTTTTCATTTTCTAATAGCTGAACAAGATCAGCCCGTGCAGCTTCTAATCTGCGCTGGCAATCTGGAATCATCATTCAAGATTCTTGCAAGACTTCAATCTGCTTTTTTATTGAATAATCATCAGGATCTTCAGTTTTCATTTTTTCAATCTTCTCTTCCTATTGTTTTGCTTCCTTTTCATACATAACCATTTCCTTTGCCGAACGCTTTACTATGCCCGTTTTGATTTTGATCTGCCTGACGTGAGGGTCTGCCATGAGGAGTGAGGAGACAGCAACGGAAGAGGAAACAACAACAACGCCGCCAAGTAGGCCACGCACAGGATGGAAACCCAGTGTTTTTATGAGTGATGGTCACTTGTTGGCCTGATAGGTTTATTGTGTCCAAATTTGGTGTCAATTTGTCCAGTGGTTTTTGCGTTATATTAATCCCACAAATGAACATTACATTTTTATTTATATAGATTGGTAGGTCAAGAAAGAACAAGTCACAGCATAACTCAGTACCCCTAAAAATATTATTTGGGTATGTATGTATGTATGTATGTATTGTATTCTACCCCGCTCTATCTCAACCCCGAGTGGACTCAGAGAGGCTTCCAAATTGACAATAATTCAATGCCGCATTAGGACATAAAAACATACAAAATAAAACAGTCACATATAAGTACATTTAAATAAACAGTTAAAAAACATAGCACATAGACCCGAAATCATAGTCTAAAGCCATTCCAATCACATTAACTTCGTAGCTACATATTGCATTGTAAATAATAATAATAATAATAATAATAATAAACTTTATTTCTACCCCGCTACCATCTCCCCAATGGGGACTCGTTGCGCCTTACATGGGGCCAAGCCCGGACAAAATAATACAGCAATAAAATCAAAGCATATACTTCAGACAACAACAACATTATCAAAATGACATTAAAATAATAAATGATAATAAAATAAAAATAAAATAAAATACTAATAAACACAATCACAATAGAAATGAAATAAATAAAAAATAAAATAAAATACTAATAAACACAATCACAATAGAAATGAAATAAATAAAAAATAAAATAAAATACTAATAAACACAATCACAATAGAAATGACAATGGGCGGGCCACATATTACGAATAAAAACAATTAGCAGACTATAATGAGATAAAATAGGAGCAGGAAGTTTAAATGGAACTCATAAAAAGTTCCACACAAAGTTATGGGGCAAAAACATCCTATTTGGAGGGCACCAACTCCATTAGCTAAGAACTAGTCTCCAAATGTTTGGTTCCATAGCCAAGTCTTATCTAAAGGACAGGGGAAAGGCATAAAGTTTGCTTAAAGGCAAGTTTCCCGGTCGCAATGGAAAGGGGGTAAGCTTGACCCAATCTGGGAAATAGTGAATCCACAAACTTATCACCTCCCACCCAAGTGTCCAATGAAAGGTGGGAGCTACAGCTGTGTTTGCTGTCAAAAATAATGGTCTTTTCATGGGGCCAAGGGCATAGCCAAAGCTTGGGATACTAGGGATCATAACAGAAACAGAATCCAACCTCATGAGCAAAACTGGGCACAGAGCAGGGTTTGGAGTTGATTGATTCTGCAGCCGATAATGCTGGTTGCAATGAAATAGTTGAACAAACAGAACAATTTGTAAAATTCTGCAAACTAATCAAATCTATATATCTCATTAGAGAATTAGTGATAGGGCCAAGAGATAAAGGGAAGTAATATACTAGCATTTTCTTTCTATATCCATGAGTACTAAATGTCAAGAAGCATTCAATCCTCCATAGGTTTGAAAGAAGGCTAAAACTAAAGAGTAGCCACGCTGACACTAGCAATATTTTTCAAAAGCATCCTCAACAATTCCCCCATGGGGAAAAAAAGGTATAACAAGGGGACAGATGTTCCACAGAGAACATGTATCAAAGAATCAGGACTGTCTCCACTAATCCTGGGCAACTGGAAGATATTCTCTAGTGAGGCTGTGGATGACAGGCAATTGATTTAGAGAGCCTGAATATAATATACAGTGTTCAGCAAATGATCAGCCATGCATACTTTTAAGCAGCTTTATGGGGACCGATGAGGGCAAAAGCCTAGCTACTTGGATACCTGAATTATGACCTATTATAGGCATAAGCCATTTGGCACTGCAGCTTCATAAATTACAAGACTGTATCCCTGAACAAACACATAATTAAGTAGAGATGGACAGGTGGCTGCAGAGGAAGTTGTAAGACTGTGCAAAATACAGAATGATTTACTCTTGACTTCTACCAGGTATACTCCGCTTTGAAGGTAGCATCACTTGTTAATGGCTACAGTTACTTGAATTAATCACCAAACAGCCTTTCTGGGTGTTAGGAACGGATGTCCTGCAATTCTTACCCAAGTGATTAGATGATATAAGCACAAAACATCATAATTATCTATATAAATAAAAATGTAATTTTCGATTTTGGGATTAACATAATTCAAAAACACTGGATGAATTGCCGTCAGATTTAGACACAATACACCTCTCAGGCCAACAAGTGACCATCACTCAAAAAAACACTGAAAAACACAGCGGAAGGGCCTTAAAAAGCAAAAAAACCAACAACAAAAATACATTACAACACATGCGCAAAACACATACGAGGGGTATTTTTTAAGTAATGTCCGTTTTGTTTTAGACACTAGTAGTTCGCGCGCATACCGCAACGAGCGCATGCGTCATGTACCGGCATGCCTCGGGAACAACTGTGCTCAGTTTCCGCTCTGTAGCTAACCTGTACGGTTCTGTTCTGTGCTTTAAAAATGTTTAAGACTATCAACTCACCCTCCGCATGTGAGGTTCGCTCAGTGATACGGTTTTTGCCAGCAAGGAACCTGCCTGCTGCAGAAATTCATCGACAGATTTGTGAAGTGTACGGTGATACTGTTATGAGTGAAAGCAAAGTGCGTAAGTGGGTACGACAATTCAAAGATGGCCGTGACAACGTCCATGATGAGGACCTACGGTCGCCCTTCTTTGATTACAGTGAACCCTTGGTTATCGGAGCAGGCGGCAAGTTTTTATGAAGAGGGTATTTTAAAATTGGTTCAGAGGTATGATAAGTGTTTGAACAAACTTGGCAACTATGTCGAAAAATAGAGTGAAGTATGTACTTTCTGAAAATAAATTTACTTTTTTGAAATAAACTTTCATTGTGTACTTATGTTCAAACGGACCTTACTTAAAAAATACCCCTCGTGTATATATATATATATATATATATATACGCAAACACACATATGCACAAATATATACACATACATATACACATATATACACACAAAAACCACATATAAACTGAGCCACAGCAACGCATGGCAGGGGACAGCTAGTTAACCCATATATTAGTTACTTTTTTGCCCTTCTGCCAAACAGAACAACAAGCAACTTTTTTAAAAGGAAGGCTGTTAAAATGTAATAGTTAAAAATAAACTGAAGTTAGCCTATAAAATGCATCCTTAATAAATCATCAAAAATAACACAATGATCATAATCAAAAGCCACAGCAAGACCGGGCTCTGAAAATAGAAATATGTCACCTTCTGGCAGAAGCCAAGCAGGGAAGAAAATAAAATGTAATTTTGGCAACCACTGCTGAATTAAAATAGCTTAACTGTTTTCAGTTGCCGGGTGCAGTTTTTTTACCTGCAAAATAGCTGTATATATGTAGGGAAGTTGAGATTACTGAAATCTGTGAGCAAAGTAAGCATTTGCAGTATAGTTGATTTTGCCCAGGGGCACTCTTGAGGCGCTCTTGGGGGAAAATGGACCTTGACATATGTGAGTTGTAGATACTGGGATGTATAGTTTACCTACAACCAAAGAGCATTCTGAACTCCACCAATGATGGAATTGAACCAAATATGGCACACAGAACTCCCACGATAAACAGAAAATATATATCAGTGATTGGGGGTGGGGGCGCCAAATACTGTTTGCTTACTGTTGAAAATTACCTAGGGCCGCCTCTGTCTGTGAGATTTCTGTTCTATTTTTCCCCAGAGGATGCTGCGTTTTGGGGCATGCCCCCAGGCAATCTGCCATTAAACATCAGTGCAGATCAAATATCAGGAAAGCCTCCAATTAAGAGCATGGGACTCCCCAAAAGACTGGCAAATAACTTAGAAGAAAAGGGATTAAGGAGGGTAAAAGGTATGTGGAAACAAGATGGAGAGATTATAATTAATAGGCCAGAGTTTTGGAAATGGGGGGGGGGGGGAGAGAAAATTGGTTAAAATTAAGAGGCATTTGGGAAAAGGAAAAAAAGAGGGTGCACAGCACACTGAAGAATTAAAGGTAGATAAATTGCTAAGTGCAAGATAAAAAAACAAGTAAATGCACAGTGGCAAAAATATATAATTTAATGATAGACGATAAGGAGTTTATGATTAGAGTAATACGTAACAAATAGAATGGGGTTAAATCACTAAGGACACAGGAAATAGAGGAAATAATTAGGAACATGTATAAAACAAAAAATATATAACAAATTAGAAAAAAGATGGTATTAAGATGGTATAGAACTCCTGAACAACTGGCTTATATGGTAAAAGGGAAGAAATCAAAGTGTTGGCATTGTAATAAAGAAAAAGGTACTTATTCACATATGTGGTGAGAGTGTTCTGAAATTAAAAAGTTCTGGCAAATGATACAAGGAAAAATTGGAATGATTATATGTATGATCAAGTGTTGTTAGACATTGCAGGAATTATGACTAAGCAAGCAACAAGAACAGACAAACAAAAGGACATTACAAATAGATGGAAGGTCTACTTCAATTAGGTGAAAAATGGAGGAGCCAACGATGACATCAAAGGAAAAATACAAAGGGAGGGAGGGACCCCCATGTTGTGGTGACCCCCAAGCAAAAAATTATTGTTATTGCTACTTCATATCTGCAACTTTGCACTGTTATTATGTAAATATCTGATATGTGGGATATATTTTCATTCACTGGACCAAATGGGAATGCTGGTGGGGTTGGGGGGATTGATTTTGTCATTTGGGAGTTGCGGTTGCTGGGATTTATAGTTCACCTACAATCAAAGAGCATGCTGAACTCCACTAATGATGGAATTGAACCAAACATGGCACACAGAACTCCCATTGCCAACAGAAAATACTGGGTTTGGTGGACATTGACCTTGAGTCTTGGAGATGTAGTTTACCTGCATCCAGAGAGTCCTGTGGACTCAAACAATGATGGATCTGGACCAAACTTGGCATGAGTACTCAATATGCCCAAATATGCACACTGGCGGAGTTTGCAGAAAATAGACTTTGACATTTGGGAGTTGTAGTTGCAGGGATTGATAGTTCACCTACAATCAGAGAATTATGAACTGCACCAATGATAGAATTGGGCGAAACTTCCCACACTGAACCCCCATGACCAACAGAAAATGCTGATGGTCTTTGGTGACCCCTCCGAAACCCCCTCGTGACCCCCCCAGGGGTCCTGACCCCCAGGTTGAGAACCACTGGTTTATAGCATAATAAAATATGTTTTAAAAAACATCAGTGCAGAGTTATGATTGGAACATTACACTGTTGTTCATTGTGCCAATCAAGGACCACAATAAGTCATGGCTCCAGTCTCTTACCTGGAAAAATGAAAGGCTGGCCTCCCCACCAGTTTTTCACATCAATAACATAAAACATGATTCCCAGCAAGACAAAGGAAAAACTGCTCAATGTAGTAACAAAAGATAAAGACCTGGCAAAGACAGGAAAGAATCAAAGAGTCATGAGACAAGCATAGTGTTGGGGTGAGAGCTAGAGACCCAAGTTGGCCACTGTCCCACCTATATAACCACAGAGCTAGTAAGCAACAAATTTCAATGCCACTTTGGACTTCATTGCCTCCCCCCCCCCCCACACCTCCCCCAGTTTCTATAAATTCCTAAAACAGTTCATAAGCGCATCAGTGGACTGTGCCAGAGATGTGGAGAAATGGTGGGAACTGAAGCTGGAGAGAAATAATCTTCTAATCTCCTGATGTGTCTGGAAATGGGAGAAAGCCCTTAAAAACACATGGGATGGGATGTGTCAGATTCGCCCATATTGAATCGTTTCAGTGATGTGGAAGAATGGATGTTTCTAAGGGTGGTCTCCTATGCTCAACTTATTTTACAAAATCCTGTATGAACCTGGAATAGACCTATAAGATATCACCACTTTGCTTTTGCTGCATTTTCTCCTTTACAGTAATGTGGGCTTTTGAAATTGTGCTTTTGCTAGCTTTTTAACTTGTTGGTTCCTCTTTTTACCAGTTATAGGAAGTTAGAATGGTGTCTTGGGTCTCCTCTAGAGTAAGGGGATTCAGAGGGAAAGTAAAATACCCGTTTTAAGAACTATGCCTTGGGTCTCCTCTAGAGTAAGGGGATTGGGAGGGAAAGCCTTAAGAATGATGCCTTATGTCTCCTCTAACAGGATGGTTGAGGCAGGAGGAAGCGATCCTATGTGATGGGGGTAAGTAAATCATCTTTTAAAAAGATGGAATTCTTCACGAAGAAGACAATTCTACATGCAAGAAGATGATTTTCCCTGCTTTCTCCTGTTTTCACCATCTCCAGTCCTTTGAGTATCAGGCAAAAGTATGATAGCTAGGACCCTACGCTGGTTACGCAGCATGGGTCTAAATTAATGAGGGGAACACGTGTGCGAAACAGTGCAGTGAGTGAGAGACGCAGCTGCGTCAGAGTCGCGGCAAGATAGTTTGCCAGAAAGGGGGAGAGAAAACATTTCTATCCTGTTTACTGTCTTTGTAAGCCGTTGTTTATCATTTAACAGTAAATACCTCTAACATAACTTCACTTGCCTTAAGCACTATGTTTTCCTGTTTATTGTTCCCCCCTCCCTTCTGGCTTGGCTGTTTGTTGTCCCCCCCCCTTTCTGCCCTCCCCCCTTCTGGCAAACTATCTTGCCATGACTCTGTTGCACTTGCGCCTCTCACCCGCTCTGATGTCTCATGCACGTCTTCCCTTAATTCTGACCCGCGTTGTGCAAGTAGCGTAGGGTCCCAGCTATCATACTTATCATTTATGATAGCTGAGAGCCTACGATACTTGTATCGTAGTATCATTTAAGAGAAGAAAGTAGGGTACAACAAACAAGAACAACAAAAACAACAAAAACTTCATCTCAGGAAAGGACTATGGAAAATAACTTCTAGAAGGTAACCCATTTCTGTTACCTGCTGTTGTCTTTGAAGAGCAGCCTATTTTTATTGATACTGTATTGTCGAAGGCTTTCATGGCCAAAATCACTGGGTTGTTGTAGGTTTTTTTCGGGCTATATGGCCATGGTCTAGAGGCATTCTCTCCTGACGTTTCGCCTGCATCTATGGCAAGCATCCTCAGAGGTAGTGAGAACCTCAATACCTCTGAGGATGCTTGCCATAGATGCAGGCGAAACGTCAGGAGAGAATGCCTCTAGACCATGGCCATATAGCCCGAAAAAAACCCGACAACAACCCAGTTTATTGATACTGTTATGTTGGGGAAATAACCCATTATGATACTTGTTTTTCATTGAGAGGGGAACATAGATCTTAGGGTCTTCTTCTAAGGCCCTTCTCTGCACAGAAGAAGCAAGAATGAAATGGGAGTCTGAATACCGACCTAATCCTGGGACTCTTGATGAATTGATTGAATGTAAAGCACCTGTTTTGCCTCTTGATCACGGTCTCTATATGAAGTGAACCATGACCTTAAGGTCAAAGCTCAATAGCTCTCCTACCTCCTTTCTCTTCAAAAGGCAGAACAGGAGAAGAGTGTTATTCCCAGGCTCTATGGGGGTGTGTAAAGAACATGTGAACTACAAGAGGCCCATGCTTCGAAACCCTCCAACTGTCCCCATATACAGTGCTTGGCCTCACAACCCCATCACCAGGACCTTTTAACTTTTTTAAAAAGTCGACAATCTCTAAAATCAGCAAAAAAAAAAAAAATGAAACCAGAAGTGATGTGGTCACATTGGATATACTGGTGAGGCTTGCCGGGGAGTGTGTAAAAATGTCCCTACCTTCCTCTGCAGCTACTCAATAGAATAGATGGATTAGCCTAGAAGGAGAAATATGGACAATAACCCACAGTGTACCTTCAGGCAAAAATTGTTACCAGCCCTCTACATTTTTTTTTGTTTTGGCAGAAAAGATTCTAGTGTATCATATTGCTAAGCCACATCTCTTCTAACGCACCGACTGCTGTTTGTCTATGTATTCAAACACAGCAAATGGCCAAAGTACCTTCATTTCAAAAGAAGCCATTTCCCTTCAGCTCAAACAGCCATTGTCTTTTGCAAAATCTTCCTGCCCTTCCTTAAGACCCAACCAACCAGACAGTTCATTTGCATACTGCAAGGGCTGTAAGTAAGTAGCTATTGATTTTTCACTTTTCCTCGAAAACCATCAAGTGCTTCATCCAAGTGTTTCATCCTCTTTGATAAGCACCATAAAAAAGGGCAGGAGATAATGGACAGGCTCATTGGAAGCTCTCTAGGTGTTCAAAACTAGTTAATTCTCCATTAAGAGCCATTGGATTTATCAGGATTTCTTGAGAACATGAAAGAGACGCTGGGTCTTTGCTACCCTTCCCTTGTGCTTAGTTTAAAAACAGAAGAAAAATCCAAGGCATTTGAGAGCAATGGCATTGACTTACAACAAAAACACAGGGTTTAGTATCAACATTATTATGCAAATGTCTATAAGAAGAGCACATTTGTACAATAATATCAGTCTATCATTCTGGAAAAATGAATGCTTTGTGCTCATATCCAGTCATCAGGATCACACCATTGCAGGCAGCTGTATGGTTGCTTCTGGAAAGGAATGTGGCATGGTCCTGAATGATTACATGTGATCACATTATTATATGTCACATTAGTGATCCCCCCAGGAAATAATGTAATCCAGTGGTTCTCAACCTGTGGTCCCCAGATGTTTTTGGCCTTCAACTCCCAGAAATCCTAACAGCTGGTAAACTAGCTGGGATTTCTGGGAGCTGTAGGCCAAAAACATCTGGGGACCCCAGGTTGAGAACCACTGATTTAATCCAAACTAATCAATTATCACAACTATCAACATGGGAGTCCACAGCCATGTTGCTATTCACTATCACTGCATGAAATTGCCATTGTGGTGCAGTGATTAGAGCATTAGAGGAGGAAATGTGAGATGAAGGTCCAATCACAATTGTGCAACCTTGAGTCACTCGCTGAGATAAGTCATGCACATCACCTTGATCTCACTGGAGGAAAGGATAGATTATGAATTTAGCAAATAAATATATAATCAGTAACTGAGAGCAAGCCTGTATCTTAACAAAAGCCTGATCAATGATTTCCATTTTGGAAAGAAATTATGATGTGGAAAAGTAACAAGGATATGGAATGGTCATGCACAATCCCATGTACCCCATGTACATAGAAATCAGCCCACTGACACTGTTTCCACAAAGTGTTTGTTATGCACATTTTGGATAGCTTGGAAATGTTATTGGTTACAGTGACTGAGCAATTATGGGTTGTAGACCCAATAAATAACTTTTCTTATCTCTTCACACGTGCATGCAATATGTATTTAGGCCAATGGAGAACACATCACTTGTTTACAGTACGAGGAGGCATTCAATGCCTTACATCAGTGGTTCTCAACCTTGGGTCCCCAGATGTTTTTGGCCTACAATTTCCAGAAATCCTAACAGCTGGTAAACTGGCTGGGATTTCTGGGAGTTGAAGGCCAAAAACATCTGGGGACCCCAGGTTGAGAACCACTGCCTTACATGATTCATTACCAACTCAGCTAAAATTTGCAGATCATCTCACTACACAATGCTATTCCACTGAGTCAGACATCATGTTCAAGATGGGAGATTAGGCGATGAGTATAGTTCAGGGAAAATGTGAGAATGCAGGGGAACGCCAAGCAACAAGTATGATAGAGTCAAATAGGGTATATTGGGTTGTGTCTGGTTGCAAGTTCTGAGCAAATTCAGTTGTGACTTGCATCAGTTCAATTTATCCAGATGATGTGAAAGCACTTACCAGAGATTTTTATTGATGGGGATGAATCCTTCATTTTGTGTACATTTGGTTAGAATGGCAGAGATAAACCCCTTAAGGCGAAAAGAAAAAAAATCAGAGAACAGGTCAATAACAAGTAACAAGGAAAGGCTATCTAACTCAAAAATCACAGGGAAAGGGAGGAGAGGAAGGAACAGATTCTCTGCCAAGTTTTAAGTGTTTCCATTGATTAATTAATCAAAATATGCCTTACAGAGCAAACGGAGAATCTCAACTGTATCCAAGATTCTGATCTGAGCAATCATTGTTTTATTTTATTTCATTTACTCAAGAAAAGCCTTTTCCAAAAATTGGATTAGCCTAGATTCATGAGCCTTAGCGTTGCAAGAGAAATGAAACCCACTTCTGGCATTGATCTGCCTGGTTTAGAAAAAAGGATCAGTCACTAGTATTTTTGGAGCTGTATTTCTGCCTAAACAACCCAAACCTTTCCCCATGTTTTTGCAAAGTAGAGATTGACAGACAGTAATATCAATATTCTTTTCTATGGTTATAATGATTACATTTATTTATTTATTTGCGACATTTATATGCCACCCTTCTCACCCCGAATACACACACACACAATATATATATATATTATATTATTAGCATTGTACAATATCAGTATTAAATATTACTATAATGTACTATAGTAATATATACCTGCTGATCTTTTTACCTTATGGGAACTTCTCTGCTTCCTTAAAAGCATAAATTTACAACTAACTTTCTTTACTAAGCTTCAATAAAAAAGAATTGTTTTCCTACCCATCGTGTGGTGTTTTAAAGTCAGAGGGTTATTCTGTCCTGGAGTGCAACAGCGGGTAACTATTACTACTACTACTACTACTACTACTACTACTACTACTACTTCCTTCCATGGTTAGGATAGTTTGAATGTTGCTCTGAGAAAGAAATTCCAGGCCTGAAATGAGGCCCAAGCAGATCCCTTGCTTATACGTGAGACAGTTTTAATGTCGGATTTAAAAATTCTATTCTATGTCTATCTGGGGAGAGGCGGATGAGCTCCCTCTATCAGCTCCAGCTCCTCATGCGGGGACATGAGAGAAGCCTCCCACAAGGATGATAAAAACATCAAATCATCTGGGCGTCCCCTGGGCAACGTCCTTGCAGACAGTCAATCCTCTCACTTGACTTGCAGTTTCTCAAGTAGCTCCTGACACGACAAAAAACAAGAAAAAATGTCTACTTAATACAGTAAAAACATATTTATTTTTCTATCCCTGATTCTCCCATACTTCCTCAATATTATTTCCTCCCACTCTCATTAGTTACCACCTCTTATAGAAACACATACCTACAGCTAACTCTGCTTTCCCTTTATGGGAAATAAAGAACTGAATATTTCTATGTGAAGGAGTCCCTATAACCCTGTATTGAGAGGAAAATGGGAGGAAGAAATCTCAATATCCCTATCAGGGTTCTCAATAGCATTTGGTCTAGTTGTCCTCTTTTCCACACCAGGCTCTTGGCTTTCGTACCAGGAGGACTAACAAGACTAAAGAGCTGCCCGAGGTATTCCAAATAAATCTTGGCTGAAGAAATTCAAATAAATCTACTGCTGCAGGAAACCGTTAATGCCACACACCTCTGCATGGTGTTAAAACGCTAAATTAATTAAATAAATCAAATGATGAAATCACCCTATAAATGTGACAGTGTGCCATAATTTAGCACAAGCTGTATGAGCTACAAATCAGATGATGGCCTAGGGAGGAAAAAAAAGATTTGTTTCTATGGTTGTTTGCTTGGAGGAGAAAGGAAATGCATCCATATGGGAGCCTTCTCGTTACAGTGACACACATACTACAAATAGGAACATTTAAAAAAAGCAGAGAAAGTGCAGAACAGTGCAAAACCTCTGGTTTAGATTCTTCTTGTTGTTGTTGTTCATTCGTTCAGTCGTCTCCGACTCTTCGTGACCTCATGGACCAGCCCACGCCAGAGCTCCCTGTCGGCCATCACCACCCCCAGCTCCTTCAAGGTCAGTCCAGTCACTTCAAGGATGCCATCCATCCATCTTGCCCTTGGTTGGCCCCTCTTCCTTTTGCCTTCTACTTTCCCCAGCATAATTGTCTTCTCTAGGCTTTGCTGTCTCCTCATGATGTGACCAAAGTACTTCAACTTTGTCTCTAGTATCCTTCCCTCCAATGAGCAGTCGGCTTTATTTCCTGGAGGATGGACTGGTTGGATCTTCTCGCTGTCCAAGGCACTCTCAGAACTTTCCTCCAACACCACAGTTCAAAAGCATCTATCTTCCTTCGCTCAGCCTTCCCTAAGGTCCAGCTCTCACATCCGTAGGTGACTACAGGGAATACCATGGCTTTGACTATGCAGATCTTTGTTGCCAGTGTGATGTCTTTACTATTTTATCGAGATTGGACATTGCTCTCCTCCCAAGAAGTAAGCGTCTTCTGATTTCCTGGCCACAGTCTGCATCTGCAGTAATTTTTGCACCTAGAAATACAAAGTCTGTCATGGCCTCCACATTTTCTCCCTCTATTTTCCAGTTGTCAATCATTCTTGTTCAGATTCTAGTATTTGGCAATAAAGAAGGAGTTTCCAACTGAGGCTAGGGATGGGTGACTCTCTCAAATTCAATTTCACACTGATTCTCAGTTCCACCCTTCAAATTTCATTCCATCTTGTTTCCACACTACAGTTTGATTATTAATAAGGTGCTTTGGGTCTCCCACTGGAAAAACAGGCAGGATAAAATCCCTTCAACTACAACAACAAATATATGGCAGGATTTGAATATACATTTTGGGTGTTCCTTTTTGAAAACGTATGTGTTGAATATCTGGTGAAATTCATATTTGACTTGAAAAGCCTACAGCTAAAGACTATAGCCATTTAACCAGAGCAGACCTGCACACTTTGTGACCCACCATCTAAACATAGCTCTCTAGTCATATACTGTGGCCTTCCAGATGTTAATCAATAACAGCAATGTTTGTGGACCAGTGGTTTAAGAGCAATTAAAACAAATACCCACACAGCATCCCCTACTATCACTATGCCTGTTTCTGTTTATTCGATGCTTCAACCATAGGTCTTTCACATACAAGGCAAATAGATAAATACACGGACACCAGATTATTAAATACAATATAAAATCTATATAAATAAAAATGTAATGTTCGTTTGTGGGATTAACAGAACTCAAAAACCACTGGGGGAATTGACACCAAATTTGGACACAAGACACCTAACAACCCAATGTATGTCCTTCACTCAAAAAAAATGACTTTGTCATTTGGGAGTTGTAGTTGCTAGGATTTATAGTTCACCTACAATCAATGAGCATTTTGAACTCCACCAATGATGGAATTGAACCAATCTTGGCAGATAGGACTCCCATGACTAACAGAATACACAAGAAGGGTTTGCTGAGCATTGTCCTTGAGTTTGGGAGTTGTAGTTCAACTATATCCAGAGAGCACTGTGGACTCAAACAATGATGGATCTGGACCAAACTTGCACAAATATTCCATATGCCCAAATATGAACACAGATGGAATTTGGGGGAAATAGACCTTGACATTTGGGATTTGCAGTTACCGGGATTTATAGTTCACTTACAATCATAGAGCATTCTGAAACCCATGAACAACAGAATTGGGGCAAACTTCCCACACAGAACTCCCATGACAAACAGAAAATACTTAAGGCCATCCAGGTCAACTCCCTTCACCAGGGCAAGAAAACATAATGAAAGCCCTCCTGACAAAGAGCCATCCAGCCATAGATATAGATAGATAGATAGATGATTCACACACACAAAGATATAGTATCATAGATTTGAAAGGGACCCCAAAAGAAGGACAATTATATGTCACATGTTCCAGAGTATGCAAACCAGACAACCTCCACATCAACACTGACAAAGAAACAGCAAGAAATACTGTTTACCCACAAGCATAAAGACAGTACAGATATTAGAAGCCAGCACTTTCTCATTACTTTATTTTCCAGATCACCAGACTGAGCCACAGCAACGCATGGCAGGGGACGGCTAGTACACAATAAAATCCTATAAATCATTAAAATGCTACATATATCGATGACAAGATGCACTCTTAAAATACTACATACTGTATGGACTCGCACTGGCGTAATTAAAAACCAGGTAAAACCAAATAGATACAGCATTATTAAAACTACATAAACAGCCACTATTAGTTAAATGCATCCCCAGCACAGTTGACTGCAATATAAGAGATTAGTCCTGCCTGGATTCTCTGTGCTGCCAAGGCAAAAAGAGACACCTTGTGAGTAACGACAGGGTTAGTGTCAGCCAAGAGATAGAAAATATTTTCTGACACAGTGTTGGCTTGAAGGAGATGAAAAATAGACCCCAGGATTTTGGCTCAGAGTACAGAGAGCAGGAAAACAAATAATGAGGCAAATCCTCAATTTCCGGGACCCCTGCAAACACATCAACGAAGAGCCAGAGGGGTGCCCATGTATCTGCCATCAATCACTGTTGTGGGCATACTTTGAATCCAAAGAGCTGTGAAGGCTTGCCTAAGTTTTGGAAATGTGAACCTATCATGGTCAAGTTTGTACAGTCTACAGTTTGTATAGATCGCCCTATCACTGTCAAGTTTGTACAGTCTGAACCAGTGGGAAAATTTGGAGTTATTAATAGCCTACCTATCATGGTGGACACAGTGATTAAAAATATATTCATGAAGCTTCTTCCTTGAATTCAAGATAGAGGGCTTATCAGACAGAGTGGGGAGAAATTCAAGCAGCTTCCGGTATCTTGTATTCTAGATTTTGCATTTTGCTAGCTGTTCAAAACATCACTTGAGGAGAACCCTAACTGAGGAGTCTTTTACACTTCTCCAATAATTAAATAGGGTGAAGTAAACACGTGATCTAATGGAGGGGAGACCAACCTCTGCCCGGGCCAAGGCTGCCGGGTGCCTGTTGGGAATCTCAGTAGTTTCTTAAGAAATGTATTCTGGAGAGCCTCCAGTTTCACTGTCTGAGTCTCATCCCATCCCCAGACAGCACCACC